AATGCGAAAGTGTGTTTGTTTGTTTGTTTGATTGTACTGCTTTCACGTCGCAACAGAGCGTCGGCATGGCATGATTTTTTTGTATGGGGATAGTTTGGTGGTTGTAGAGTGACATAGGTTACTTTTTTCCGCAGAAAAACATCTCACTCCCGTGGAAAATAGAATATGTTGCAAAAGTTTGTCCTTCTTTCACGTCGCAACAGAGAGTCGGCATGGCATAAATTTTGGTATGAGGATAGTTCGGTGGCTTACAGCCTCATTCCCGTGGGAAAATAGAATATGTTGCAAAAGTTCGTCCTTCTTTCACGTCGTAACACAGCGTCGGGATATTTCGGTGGCTGTAGAGTGACATAGGCTACTTTTTTCCGCGGAAAAACATCTCATTCCCGTGGGAAAATCGTATATGTTGCACAAGTCTGTCCTTCTCTCACGTCGCAACAGAGCGTCGGCATGGCATGAATGCAAAATTAAATTCAGCTAGGTGGCGCCACCGTGATTCTACAAGACGGACGACGGTACGATGGACGAACACAGAAGGTCAGAATATCTGGATTATTATGTCTTTTTACCAAAATTAAGATAAAAAATTTATGGATCTGTATTTTTCCACGCAGGACCGGGATTTTCTTCAAACGTTTTGGTGCATTGTAATTCACAGAATAGGAAATAACCTCGCAGACGATATTAAGTAATCCGTTGATGCTCTGCCTACACCGCAAGGGTTACAGGCGTGATTATAAGTATGGATCAGAAATACTATCACCACCTGTCACGCTTTCACCCTTAACTATTACTTAACTGTGGTAGAAACAGTTCTTAGTAAGCCTAATAAGGCATATAATATTTATTGAACGGAAATGAATACAGTTCTTATATGTGGTTATGAATGAATCGGTATTACAATAAGAAAAATTGTGCAAAATTATAAGAAAAATAATTTTAAGAGTTCTTATTAACTAACGTATACATAGTTTAAATTGATTCCACTAGATGTCGTTACTAGGTTTTTAAAACGCGGTAACGAAATGTTTTTAACGACATGTACTTAACTCCCGCCGTTGAGCCGCGCGACTTATAGTGCATACGGTACCTATACGCTTAAATTGTTTCTATTTCGTAGCTTATTCGACTACCTGCTTTCGAATTCGGTTGTTTGTTATTTGCTTTGTGATTTGGTTAAGGTTGAATGGAGTTATATAGGCTTTCATTTTCGGATTTGTGTATTTTCTTGGATCAGTTTTATTGATTTGGTTGGTATTCCTTTATAAATATTTAGACTCTGGCTTTAATTTTGGATTTTGTTTATTTAGAATCGTGAATTGGTTTTCGTTGTTTTAGGTTGCTTAACAATATTTCAAAGGAATATTAATAGTATAGATAGTGTATACGGTACCTACCTATACACTTACTTCTTTTTTCGTTGGTTATATTTATATTGACTCCTGCTTTCGATTTCGGTTTTCTGCGATTTGTTTTGTGATTTGGTTTAGGTTGATTCGATTTTTTTTGGCTATCGTTTTCGGATTCATGTTGTGTCTTGAATTGGTTTTGTTGTTTTGATTTTAAAAAATATTTAAAAGGAATATTTATTCCTTTTAGATATTTTGGATTTGCTTTTAAAAAAATATTTAAAAGGAAATTTAATTCCTTTTAGATATTTTAACGTTTTTTTATAAATAGGTTTTTTGTTACTTCATAATGCCTCGCAAACGTAAGTCCAGCTTTTATAGAGTATTTTTTCAAAGACAAGCGAAAAGATTAGCTCGATCGCTAGAATCTTTAGAAGATGCTGAGCTGAGAAGGCAAGAACAAGCAGAGCGTCAGGCTGCTTTTAGAGCATATGCGATACCTACTCAACGTCATAAAGGCGTCTTGAACAGAAAGAGCGTCAAGCTACTTTAAGAGCTTCTGAAACACCTTCTCAAAGTCAGCGAAGGCGTCTTGAACAAGCAGAGCGTCAAGCTACTTTAAGGATTACTGAAACTGCTGCTCAAAGTCAGCAAAGGCGTCTTGAACAGGCAGAGCGTCAAGCTAGTTTAAGAGCTACTAAAACACCTGATCAAAGTCAGCAAAGGCGTCCTGAACAGGCAGAGCGTCAATCTACTTTAAGAGCTACTGAAACACCTGCTCAAAGTCAGCAAAGGCTATTCGAACAAGCGGAACGTCAGGCCACCTTAAGAGCCGCGGAAACACCTGATGAAACTCACCACAGACTCATTGAGCAAGCTGAACGTCAATCTACTATAAGGTAATCTGAAACACCAGAACAGACACAGGCGCGAAGAGATACAATTGCACAGCTCCAAGCTGAACGTCGACAAAATTTTCAAAGAAACAATTGGTCGGTTTTTAATGACGCAGCATTCAATTATGACCCGTTGATTGATTATAAAAATCACAGGTTAGTTGTTATCGGACTGATGGACAAGGCGTGTCGATTTTGCAGCACTTTAAAATGGAAAGACGAGACCGCAGGCATGTGCTGTTCCAATGGCAAAGTGTCTCTTCCGTTACTTGGGGAACCAGAAGAACCTTTGAAAACTCTCTTTTTATATGATGCTAATGAATCGCGGCGCTTTTTAAACAGGATCCGGAAATATAACTCATGCTTTCAAATGACGTCCTTCGGTGTTGACCGGGAAATAATAATGCCGGGATTTTCGCCTACATTTACGGTGCAAGGGCAAATTTATCATAGAATATATTCACTTTTCCCAGCTAAAAACGAACAGCATAAATTTATACAAGTATATTTTATAGGTGACGAAGAAATTGAGGTAGACCGTCGCTGCCAATTTATCCAGAAAGTTGAGAGACACAGTGTTCAAAATTCAAAGATTCTTGCATGAACGTAACATTTCAGTCAAAACATTTAAACTGCTTTAGAAAACCTACCTGAAGAGGATTATAAAGTCGTCATTCACGCAGATCGGACCCCTCGAGGAGAGCATGAAAGGCGCTACAATGCACCTTTGATAAACGAAATAGCAGCCGTAATTAGTGGTGATCAATTTTCTTCACGAGACATTGTCTTGTGAGCACGTGATGATACTTTGCAACGGGTAGCCGATACACACAAGTTTTATAACGCTCTGCAATACCCATTGATTTATTGCAAAGGACAAGAGGGTTATCATTTTCAAACTCCACTCATTAACCCGGTCACAAAGGAGCCTACTCCGAACAAAAAAGTATCATGTATGGATTTTTATGCGTATCATATGATGTTGCGAGAAAATGATTTTAACCTCTTAGCCCGGTGTAGACAATTATTTCATCAATTTTTGGTAGACATGTATATGAAGGTAGAAAGTTAACGTTTCCGTTATATATCTTTAAATCAAAAAAAGCTGCGCGTTGAGAATTATATACATTCACAAGATGCAATTTCTAGCGACGCCAATGTAAACCCCAGAGATTTAGGTAAAATGGTAATTCTGCCCTCATTATTCGTTACAGTCCCCGCTACCTACATGAGTACACACAAGACGCATTCGCCTATGTACGAACTTACGGAAGACCTGATCTTTTTGTTACTTTTACTTGCAATCCCACATGGAAAGAAATAACTGAGGAGCTAATGCCGGGCCAAAAAAGTACTGACAGACACGATTTACCACAGACGTGGTAGAGCCGTGCTGCAGTTATATTAGATGTATAGTTGTAGCACGAATGGGTCGGCTCGATCGGGGAAGGACCACGCTCTCACAGAATACCAGCGTGAAATAGTAGCTTAATGCTGCTGTATTTCGTATGGTGAGGTTCTCTAACCGGAGACCCATTTTACTGGAAACGAGGCATTCCATCTTAGTCCTCACGGGTGACAACGCATCTGCATTTTGATTCGTAATCGATGATAGATATAGATGTCTATGAGCCACAGCAACCACTTACCATCAGGTGGACTGTGTGCTCGTTTGTCATCCTATCCTATAAAAAAAATTTAGTTGCTATAGAGTATTTAGATTAAAAGTACAAAAATTAATGTATGTAATTAACAAAGGGAAAATTTTCAGAGAGGTGCAGTGCTTCATGTATTCAATTGAATGGCAAAAAAGAGGATTACCGCATGCCCACATTCTAATATGGCTTAAAGAGAAATTGCGGCCCAGCCAAATAGACGACATAATAAGCGCCGAGATTCCGGATCCTGAGCAAGATAAAGAATTGTATGATACCATCGTCCGGAATATGATTCACGGTCCATGTGGAGCACGAAATTCAATATCGCCATGTAAGAATCCTTTAATGAAGTTGGTTAAAAATGAAAGAATCAATAGAACAAAAACATTTATTCAAATCACAATTATAAATAATTGTGCATTGTTGGAATGACAGTAACACCTGAAGTAATAATTCAAAAACACTGAAACACAATTTTAATTTCCGAAATGGTACTTTTAATACACAAACTGCAATATCACAGCTCGGAAAGATCTTTCTTTGTATATTGCAAAATTAACCTTAATGTGTCGTTTTAGTTCTACCATCATAACTTTAAGGCTAAGTTTGCAATAAATGAAGCACTAACAGCACCACAAAGTACATGTAGATTTTAGACACTGGAAAATAAATTTGACTTGTTAAACCATCTTCACATATAAGCCGACAGAATCGAGTGTTTACATCGAGTATATTTCTTTATGCTTCTTCAATGCAAGCAAAATCACACATTGAACCGTTAATATTTGGCCCTCAAGTTAAAGTCGGCCCTGTTATTCTTTCCAATTCAGCAAGTTAAGTATAAAAAAGTAACTAAGTAGATCGGACCAAAAATTTATAATTTTAATGGAGGTAGCCGTGGTTAACTATCACATTGGGACGTCGAACACCTCAGTCCCCCCGTGACCATAGGTAAAATTATTTAAAAGAAATTTATTTAAAAGAAATCTTCAATTAAAATCTCAAACCCACCTAGAGTCACGGACACTAACACTTAAATTTCAATAGAGCTGAAGTGAACATTAAACAATTGCCTATTGGCAAGCTTAGAACCGTATTTAAAATCCTTCGAGGTTCTGGAAAAGTAAAAGTATTACATATGGTAATGATACAAATGAAGATATTGATAAGCTAAATAACTCTAAGAATAAAAGAAAGTCTTACGTCTCCCATGTTATTTAAAAGTAATATCACAGTATTCTTTATACAAGACTAAATGACTAAGACAAAAACAGAAATTTGAAACGTAAGTATACTATGCAGTCTGGCATAACATAACTAAAGTAAACTAAAACTCTCAGTTAACGCATTTAAAAATAAAATACAAAAATCACACATACGTTGACATGACATTTACGTCACATTCTATAAAGACTTACAATTCTAAAGGAATATCGTTTTAGACTGGATTTGATACGACGGTAAAAGTACATTCACATTTGTTACAAGCGTAACAGATGTGAATTTCCTCGTCTTTATAAAACTTACATTGCAAGTTATAAAATAACCGTTACTTTCATTTATGTAGTTTTTACCACAAAATAAAAACTTTGCTTACAGGTACCACTAAATAAAACTATTTCTCAAGTAATTTATCACAGGGTCGTATAAAAATTTGCGTGGTAGGCCCTCACTACATAAAGCATATTAAACTTAACACGGCAATGTTTATTGGTGCAGAAAGGGGAGGTTGAAAATTCCGACCAAGTTACATACATAAACCGTCAATATATAAATAAACATCTTGGTAATATTTTAGGGCAATTTATTTTTAAAAAAATATGGAGGTACTTTTATATACCTGTAGAAACATAATGCAAGCTTTCATGTGTGCAAATTTTAATTGCTTAATATTTGCATGAACTTTAACGTCTTCAACCAATGTAAGAAAGAAATTAAGGACATTATACTCTAGTTTTGTTACTTATTAATTTCTTCGGACAGGCTTAAAGCGAAACTCCTATCACTTTTTTAACTGTGTTTAGACCTCTTTTTGAATTAAGTGTTGCTATTTATTATTCTTATATTTAGAATAGTTTCAATCATACGCAATGTTGCCAGTTACGGATTTCTAATGCCATATAGAAGCGAATCCTTGAGAACAAATTCGACACGTTGTCCAGGGTGGTGGCAATGGAGGCTGATTATTCTAGCGACTGCACTACAATATACGTAGCAAACAGCAAAATATTAATTATTAATAAGATTGGGTTTAATGACAACTTACTCTTGTTAAACGTCAATTATGACACCGTCGCCGCATACGCCGCTATTGTAAGATAATTGTTATTGGTCCGGTTTACATTTTGAGAAATCACAAGTGTGAGTGACAAGTGCAACCAACAAATGACAAGTGCTTAGTGCGTTTGAACAGGCAGTGACAAATATGTAAAGAATACACACTAAGAACTTGTCATTTGTCAGTTCCACTCGTACTTGACACTTCTCAAAATGTAAACCGGGTCTTGTTTTAAGGAAACTACGTAAGATTAATAATACCTTAAAGATTAATAAAACATATTCTTAGTTATGTTTTTTGTGAATTCTACACAATGCACTTAAAGTTAGTAACAACAACATTAACATGTCACAATACATTTTATGAAGATTACCGTTCGAACAATTTTTCTGATCAACCTATAGGTAAAGTATACAAAAGTACAAGGTTATACGCAAAATAAACGAAAAGCTTTTATGGCTTCACCCTATAAAGGAAAGAAAGCTGTAAAATAATTTATGTTTTATAATATTTATTAACAAATCACGTCTGTCCACTCAAAACTACCGAGATGTAGATATTTAATTTTATAATTATTCTTCATACGTTTTAATTTTATTCAGTCGCTGAAATAACGTTCTTAGACGTCCTGAAACAAAACGAAGACGATATTCAATGCTTGCGAAAAATAAAACTAAATTTAAAAGTACCTACTAGAGTTCTATTGTTAAGTGTATGGAAGCCATTAATTACTAAAGATACACCGTATACCACCAGCCTTTAATGCCAACCGCATTTTTGTTATAGAATAAGGGTGACAAGCGTGCACAAAGTCCACCTAATGATAAGTGGATGATGTCGCTCATAAACATCTAAATTCATCCTCGATTCCTCGATTTAGAATCAAAATACCGAATCGTTGTCACACCTGAGGACAAAGATTTAATGTCATCCAGTAATAAGTGTTCTCTGCGCTCACCATGCATAGCATTGATCTGCTAATTTACGCTGGTATTTTGTGAGAGCACGGTCTTCCCTGGTCGGGTACAATTTCTTAAAAGTAACTACATATTTAATAAATTTGTATTAAAATAGTAAAAATGTTATTTTACAAGTTACAGTTACAGTTACAGTTATCTAAAGAAACAGTAAAAGGTGTAAGGAAATATACCAACTTTTTTACAAATCTAACTTATACTTAGTCTAACTTATTAGTCAGTCGCCAGCCAGAGGTTCATTCGTACCTCTAGTTGGCGACCGACTGATTGCAGAAAGTCGTAAATTCATCCCGCTATTTAACACAACATATCACTTGATACTACGGTTTCAGAGCCGTATCGAAAACTAACTCTTAATGCAACAATAAAATAATTTTGTTTATTTAAAATCATTTACCTGTTCGTCTATGATCATACTGACATTCTCACATTCTAAAGACGTAGATGCAACAGCTTGTGGGCTTGGGGAGTCACCATTGTCATCGTTGACTCTCTTGTTAACGTCTATTACTAACCTGTTTATTTTTACTAAGCCTCGCTCTGTTAACATCTAAAAAAAACATTACTTTACATTACGATAACATCCAACTACGACAACATAAAATCATAAAATCATACATCAATATTAATTTAAGAAACTATCTGAGTACCTAACACCCAATTAGATAAAATACTAAAATAAAATGTTTGATTATATACAATAAAAAGACTTTATTGCCCTACGAAATACCGTGTCTGAGCAAATTCAGAGTACTAAAAATAACTACTATTACAAAGCCTTCAAAAACTGTGAAAAAAACCTTTAAAGATGTGGAAGTTGATCGGTAACTTAGCTGATAACAAAACAAAGTCGTGCTCTGCTCCTATAAAACTAGATACACAAATGGGTCCAATTACAGATGTTAAGGAAATATGTAATTATTTCAATACTTTCTTTGCTACTATAGGTTGTATTTTAGCAAATAAAATTAAAATGCATAAGGAAAAACTACTTACACAGCCTAGCTCACAAACGGCAAATTCTAGTACGTACGAACTGCTCTATCTAACTCCAACTACGAAAGAGGAAGTAGGTAAAATTATAGATAAACTTAATCCAAACACTAGCACGGGCTTAGACGGCATTAGTTGCAAAACCGCAAAATGCATCAAAAATTTAATATTACACAAATTAACAATGAATATCAACCATTGTTTACAAAACGGATTCTTCCCCGATCCTCTTAAAGTAGCAAAATTGAGTCCAATTTTTAAAGCAGGAAAAAAGACCGACCCAGGCAATTATCGCCCTATCTCAGTTCTCCCAATTATCTCTAAAATTTACGAGAAAATATTATATAAACGCTTAAATAATTTTCTTAAAACTATTAACTTCTTATCAAATAATCAATATGGTTTCCGCACAAAATCTAATACACTAACTGCAACAATTGACCTTGTGACAAAGTTGAAAAACAATATTGATGAAAAACGCGCAGCGCTCCGTATATTTATCGATCTGAAAAAGGCATTTGATACAATTATCCATAGCCTGCTTCTCCAAAAACTATATGATATCGGCATCAGGGATACTGCCCACGATATGTTTCGGTCATATCTCTCTAACAGACAGCAAATTGTTAGGATCGGTGATATGGAAAGTAATCACGAATCTTTAGCCTGCGGCGTACCACAAGGCTCTATTCTCGGTCCCTTGCTGTTCATAATATACGTAAACGATGTGCATAACCTTAACCTGTCAAGTGATATAATACTATATGCTGACGACACATGTTTATTTTTATTTGGCAAGGACATCGAGCAGATCATTAAACAAGCACAGCAGGATTTGGATACACTCTCTAGATGGTTCCAAGAAAAATTGCTTTCTGTTAACACATCTAAAACTAGTTACATTATTTTCAGTGCTAAAAACAAAAAAAACCGAAAATCGCTTAACTCTCCGCATAAATAATGAACCCTTAACCAAAGTTAGTACAGAAAAGTATCTTGGACTCCACCTAGATAAACACTTAACGTGGCAGCCGCACCTAAATAAATTAAGATCTAAGCTATCTTCTATCATGGGTGCGCTTCGTGGTAATATTCGCTGTCTGCCAAAATCAGTGAGATATATACAACTCCATGATAAAACCTAACTACCTAATAGAGGTGTGGGGTACTGCGGCTAAAACAAATCTAAAGCAAATTGAAACATGTCAAAACAAAATAATCAAACTACTATTCCATTATCACTATCTAACTCCCACCGAAAAAATTTACAAAGAAACTCAATTAATGACACTATCACAGATTTATAAATATAATACATGCATATTAGTACATAAATTATTAAATAAAGATATACACTCTAAAATAACGTTTACAAAGAAAGGACTAATACAAAAACGTATTACTAGACGACAAAATAACATTTGCCTAAGACAACCTCGAACTAACTACGGAAGAAAAAATATATTATACGAAGGAGCAGAGTTATATAATAAATTGCCTAATAACATAAAAGAGATCCAGTCCTTTATTTTATACAAAAAAACATTAAAGCACCACATCTTAAAAGATTTTTCTCGATTTTAAATAACATTAACTTATTCAAAAAGCTAATGTTATTTCTTTAATTAATTTGATTTTATAATATTTATTTAAAATATAAACATTGACATAAAAATACCATCTAAATTGCTAGCAAATATGAACTATGTGTAATTGCTATAGACTTTCTTTCAATAACGATATGTAATTGTACACGTACTTTTCTTGTTACCCACAAGTAACAAGATTGTGCGTATCCACTACTTAACAGAGCATTTACAAGTACCTGCCGTTCTTCATAAGTTTATTTATTTAGTATCTAATTATTAACTTGTTATTTCTCATGATAAGTGAATTGTATTCTTTTTGAGAAATAAATGTCTTAAGCCGTAAATGTGTATCCATACATTTACTAGTTTTAATTAACCCACGACGAAAAAGAAAAGGGTGTTATAGTTTGACCGCTATGTGTGTGTCTGTCTAGGTGTGGCACCGGTTCCTAAATGGGTCAACCGATTTGGGTGTGGTTTTTTTTATTTAAAAGCAGGTTTTCTAGCGGTGGTACTTAGCCATGTTATATCAAAATCGATTCAGTCGTTTGAAGATTTTCAGCTTTTTTTGTTTCGGGGGTTTTTTATTTATTTAATTTCAGTTATGCACTATTTCTTTATTACTTGACTCCATGCAATGAGTTCTAACTTTCACGAGAAACTTAACTGCGTCAAGCGGCTTTATTGAAAAGACTCTGTTCACCATTACCAATCCAATTATTAGAGCTGCCTGCTGACGAACTAGGCATCAGAGGGGTATATCTAACATATGGGATTGGAGAAAAAATTCTTAAATGTGAATGAAAGTTCGTCAAAATATTAATTGTGCGACATCTTTATTAACAGTGAAGAAGAAAGATACCAATCTTAATGAGTTCTGTGCCAGTTTATACATCACCAGTTCACTATACATGTACAGAATCCTTTTTAGTTCTTTTTTTAGCTTCTTTACTTTGCTTGTTTATTGAAAGTAACGAAACGAAATTTAAAAAAAAACTGTGATGATAAACTATCAGGTGGAATTCACTGCTGCATGCAGAAAAATAATATAACGGTAAAATAAATAATAATAAATAATATAAATATTTATAATATAACGGTAAAACTTTATATTATAAAAAGTAGAATATAGTTAGTGTCAGGTACATACGAGGGCTGCACTAAAAGTATCGGGAATGGAATATTTCCACTGTTCCTGTCATATTAAAATCTATTTGATTGAAAATTTCTTGGTTTTAAAAATCGAATACCATTTATTTATTTAAAAAAAGATTCTAGGTCTTGTCACAAGGTTTTGTCAAACTTGTTTAGTCGTTGAGAAAATGGAATTGACTCGAGAAAATTCAAGAGCGATGATTTATTATGACTTTCGAAGTGGTTTAACACAAAAACAGTGTGTTGACCGGATGATTTCTGCATTTGGTGATCAAGCCCCATCCAAAACCACAATTTATCGCTGGTTTGCTGAATTTCAACGTAGGACGTGTCAAGCTCAGTGATGATCCCCGTCAAGGTCGACCAAAAACTGCAGTCACGCAAGAAAACGTTGATGCTGTGCGTAAGCTGATTGAGGAAGATCGACATGTGACATACCGCGAAATTCAGGCAACTTTAGAAACAAATACAAATAATCTTACATGAACAATTAGGTTTAAAAAAGTTGTTTTCCCGATGGATACCGCATTCGCCCTGTGAAGAGCAAAAAAGCGGCTCGCGTTACTTGGTGCGTCAGAACTCTCGAAAGATTCCACACAGGATCCTCAAATGCTGTATACAACATCGTATCAGGTGACGAATCCTGGATATACGCGTACGAACCCGAAACAAAAAACCAGTCACGAGTTTGGGTGTTCGAAAATGAGTTAAAGCCAACAAAAATTGTTCGTTCACGGAGTGTTGCAAAAAAAATGGTGGCCACGTTTTGCCACAGGTCGTTTCTGAACTCCGTAAAGAGAACTGCAACCGCCGCATCATCCTCCATTACGACAATGCGAGTTCTCACACCGCACACAGAACAAAAGAGTTTTTAGAGCAAGAAAACATAGAATTATTAGACCATACGCCGCGCCGTACAGCCCCGACCTAAGCCCTAATGATTTCTATACTTTCCCTAAAATATAGAATAAATTGCGTGGACAGAGATTTTCATCACCTGAAGAAGCTGTGGACGCCTACAAAACGGCCATTTTGGAGACCCCAACTTCCGAATGGAATGGTTGCTTCAATGATTGGTTCCATCGTATGGAAAATGTGTCAAATTTCGCGGAGAATACTTCGAAAAGCAATAAATACATTTTTAAATAGTAATGTTGTGTCACTTCCTTGATTCCCGAATTTTCAGTGCCGCCCTCGTATTAGATACTTTGTTTCAATAAAGAAATACCGCGAAAAAAATGCCTAAATATGTTGTAAAGTATGAAAATTGACAGCAAATTCCAAATTTCGCAGAGACTGTGACACCACAGCTATGACTATTTTAGTAAAAAATACTGTTCTTAAACCAAAACGTAAACCCTAGAATTTCAATAAACTAAGTTTTGAAATAAGTCGGCTAGCGTGTTTTCATTCAACGTTTGATCCAAATCAAACGACGCTAGTGACTCGATTGTACTCTGACATTAATCAACATCCTTAGCCTATAATCTTCGTTATGATTTTTTTTCTTTTTTTTTTATATACTTAATAAGGGTGACAAACGAGCACACAGTCCACCTGATGGTAAGTGGATGTTGTGGGCCACAGACATCTACATTTAACCTCCTTAAAGATGGAATGCCTCGATTCCAGTAAAACGGGTCTCCGGTTCTCTACACTCGACATACGAATTACAGCAGCATTAAGCTGCATTTTACGCTGGTATTCTGTGAGAGCGTGGCCTTCCTCGGTCGAGTCGACCATTCGTGCTACAACCATAATATAGCTGCAACATGGCTCTACCACGTATAACATTGTTTAGTTCACCTATAAAATTCAAGACAATTTTATACGTGAACTGAAGAAGAATGAAACAATTAAAACCATTGCAGCAGAGCGTGGTTATTTGTGGTGTTGGCCTATAGACACTATTGATATTGTGAGCCAATTTACCCATTTACAATCTATCATATCAATATATATCTTTCATCTTTTGTAAATATATAAGTACATATATATTTACAAAAGATGTCCTTAGTGACTGACTAACAACGCACAACACAAACCACTAGTTACAGAAATCTGAAATTCGAACAGTAGCTGCCTTTGATGACATAGACATATAAAACTGTTTATTAAGCTATTGCATAGCTTCTATCGCGGGCCTTGAGCGCGGGGACCGAATCCAGAAATTCCGTAAAGAAAAAAAACTTCACGCTCCCCACTCCGACGGGCACGGAGGTGTGGCTTGAAGGCCGTGCATCGTCTAACGTCTTTTCAGTTCGGCAGACTTCGGCACTCGGCAGACTTCGGCACGGTGTTTGTGTGCGTGCGACTAGACGTATGCGTGTACACTAGCTGCTCACTCAATGATAAAAATTCCTGAATAACCTACATGTATTGTAAGATATTAAAAATATTTTAAACAATATTAACTTCTCATTTATTCAATAAGAGAAAAAAAAATTGTTTTCTTATCGGTCACCACGCTCAAAAAGTGTAACTTGATTTAATATCAAAGACTTAACTGCATAAATAAAATAAATAAATAATTATAATTGCATAAGTTGATAAAAAATGCTATGCAATAGCTTTACCGCGGCAGTCACCGAGTGCCACAGGTATTTTTTTACGGTGTAATTGACTCGAATTTTACATACTCTTTGAATAATAATAATCTTAGGAATATTGCCATTTTTTAAAACAACAAATGCCAGGGGCTATTCAAATTTATAAGAAGAAAAATAATAACGTTTTTTTAATTTGAAAACTCGTGCATTTTTTGTTTATTTTACTGTTTTATTTTTCTAATGATTTTTTTATTTAGGTTTTAAAATGAGGATGCAAAGTTTATACGAAAAATATTGTATTATGATGCACAGTTCCAACCACTGGGCGTAGAAGCGTGAAATTGGACTATAGGTTCCTTTTATTACGTAGCAATCCATTAAGATTTTCGAAAATTCAAGGGTGTGGTTGTAAGATGATTTCTTATATTTACGCGAGCAATATACATTGAATGAAACTAGTTTTACGGATTTTTTCGCGTATTATTAAATTATTTTATATTTTCCACGATTTTAGTACTTCACAGCATACATGGTCACAGGGGACTAAGGTGTTCGAAGTCCTAATGTCATAGTAAAAAAATGTTAATTGTTGGAGGTAAGATAGTATCTAGAGTTTGTATGAAACCTTTTTTACATTCATTTACAGACATCAGACAAAGTAAATAATTACCAAACTCTCAGAATCAGAAATCATGGTATAAAATTGTACTTGTTTGTCCGCCAAGAAGTGACAAGAGTGTCATTGGCGTTTAACGCCAAACGTACGTTGCAAACGTGAGTCAAGTATAGACACCAACGAAGGAGCGTTGCATCGCATACGTGCGCACGTGAGACCAGTCTGTCCCTAGCTTTATACTACTAGACCGGCAATTCAGAACCAGAAGCTGGGTCACAGGTGTGGAACGCGCGAGCCGGCTGTGCAGGAATCTCGCTCGGTAAGCATGCCACGCAGTTGTATTTTCATTTAGGTACGTACCCACATACTTGTCTGCAATAAACTTCAAATCTCGTTGACAAAGTGCACACTTAAATATAAATACATAAATGACAGCGGTTTCTTAGTCACTTTGGGGCCCTACTGCAGTATGTCTGTATTATATTTTTTTTATAAATTTAATTAAGACAACAGAAGATCTCGATACTCAAAGTACTATAGTTGTCGAAGAAAAGATTAAAGATATTTACTTTGTAAAACATGAGTAAAAAAATTCAAGTGTTAAAAATTTTAAAACGAGCACGTTTTGCCATCTATGGCGTACAAAAATTATACTACATATATTATTATACAAGATAAATTAACTAACCCTACGGACATAATTTTAGATGTGCAACAATTTCAATGGCATCTCGTAAAATTGCATTAGAGAAATGTCGCAGTTCATTATTTAGCTTAAAAAATCAATCACTTAAGAAATCAGGCAAGCTGTAATAACATTTGGCTATCAGATATTTTTTAAGATGTAGCTTAAAAAGTCTAGTAGGCAATTGTTTGATGTGTTTTGGGATTTTATTATATATTATTGGCGCCAGACAGAAAATAGTTTTATGCATCAATGCAGTTCTTGAACCAACTGCGCATAACCTACTATTATCCCTGCGATTGCGGATTGTGACGTCCGATAATTTGTTATAAACAATTTAGGGGTTACTTTGAACGAGGTTTGCTACTTCACATAGGTATAATAAGGAGGGTAAGCTCAAATGTTGTGCTCAATGAAAATGGTTTGCAGTTATGAGTAATTTTAAGAACGAACATAGCTCTGATGCACCTTTTTTTGGGATTTAAATATAATTTCCTTATTAGTAGAATTTCCCCAGAATATAATTCCAAACCTCAAGATGGAATCAACCATACCATGGTAAGCGATGAGAAGCGCATCGGTACTTACGACGGATGAGAGTTTATTGAGCGCATAAGCAGAAGAACTAATTCTTTTGTTCAGTTCTTCTGTGTGCGCTTTCCAGTTCAAACTTTTATCAATGGTTACACCTAGAAATTATGTTGTGTATACTTGGTTGATTTCTGTCCCTTGGTAATTAACGTAAATATTTGGTGTTGCTAAGCATTGACTGAAGTACCTAATTTTGGTTTTTTGAAGATTTATTTTTAAATTATTATTATTTAACCAGTTTTTTGTAAAATTGATTGTATTATTAATTTCACTTTCAAATTTATCCTTATTGATGGAGTTTATTGTTACCGTACTGTCATCTCCAAAGAGCGATATTGGATATTTTGTAATTTTTGGTAAATCATTTACGTAGATGATGAACAACAAAGGACCCAACACACTCCCTTGTACGGGACACCGTATTTAACTATTTGTTTGTTTGATATACATATTTCTTCTTTTTTGGTGTTAATGTTTATTATAGAAATTTCGGTATATTGTGTTCGATTTTTAAGATAGGATTTCATGAGATTTAATACGTTTCCTCTGATGTCAAAGGCTTTTAATTTACTGAGCAGAATGTCATGGTCAACATAATCGAAAGCCTGAGTCATGTTGCAGTAGGTAGCGCATACCGGTGTCTTTTGGTCAACATTTATTATCACTCTATTTAAAAAATCAGAAATAGCCATATTTATGGTTTTGTTTTTGCGGAATCCTTTTTGGTCTTCTGTAAGAATGTTTAATTTTTCTAAAGAGTTATAAACTTCTAAATAAAAAAAAATATATATATATATATATATATATATATATATATATATATTTTACAAAAACTTTTGATAGTATAGAAACAAGCGAAATAGGTCTATAGCAGTTCATACTTTGTTTGCTTTTTTAAACATTGCCTTAACAATTGAATTTTTTAAACTTTCCGGATAAGATTCTGTGCTTATACAAATATTCAAAACATGGCTGAGATGATCACAAATGTAATAAGCAACATACTTTATAATTTTAGTTGAGATCCCATCATGCCCCTACACTTGTAGTATTTCTTAGTGATCTTATGATTTTAAGTATATCGTATGGTGTACTCAGTGCCATAAACATTGACTGAGATGATTTGACAATATTTGAAGTTACTTGCTTTCCCGTGCCCGACATAGGTTTAATTTAACTATAAAAAAATTGTTATTTCCTGTAGACTACTTAAAGTTTTATTACCCGCTTTTATGGAAATGGTCATATGCTTTGGCACATTCATTTTTGATCTATTTATTATTGCCCACGTCGCTTTAGATTTATTAATCACCGTTTTTATTTTATGGTTGTTGAACGTTGTGTTAGTTGGATATTTTTTTAATTAAGAAGAAATAAAGTCAGTTATACCAAAATAAGCAGTAATTACACCACATTAAAAGAAGTCGTGGCGGTCGAAACCCGAACTTATTTTTTAATTATTTTTTAAGTTAGTATAAGGGCAGCCGACTAAAAGCTATTCGTACAGTAGTTGGCAAGTCATTCGCTAATCCATGCTAGATAAGTTGGTGTGGTGGTATGTAAATAGGCGTACTACTTGTGCTATACCTTTCCTTTATTGTTCAGAAATCCATTCCTACATATTTAAATTCTATACAGAACGAACGCGAAAATTTAGCGTAGTATGTGGTAGAGCCATGCTACAGCGATTTTGGCTGCAACAGGAATTAGTCCACTCAATCGTAAATGCCCGCGATCATGTAGAACACAAGCGGAAACTATCAGCACAATGATACTGTTTCGTATGATTATCGACGAGAAGGGGATATCCTTTTTACGGCAAACGAGGCATTCCATCAAGGATGAGAACGCATCTGAATTTTTATTCTTAGATAGTTTGTAGATTAGAGACTCCATTTGCCCTCAGGTGGACTGCGTTATCCTTTGTCATCATTTTTTTTATAAAAAATAACAAAAGATTAAGTAGGTATTTATAAATTGTATATAAAGAGTAAAATCCACAAACTTACATAATCTCGACGTAAATCTTCCAGTCTTAATTTATGATCTGAATTCAACTCTTCTTTATTTTCTATTACTTGCCATTCCATTTTTATATTTTTTGGAACATAAACTTTTCTAGAGAATACTCTGAAAAATTTGACAACATATTTTAAGCAATTTATACAATTAACAATATAAATAAATTCAATAACATTAAATCCACGAAGGTCGTGCTGTTAGTAGTCTAAAATAGTTTTAAATTCTTTTAAAGTGCAAGAATAAAAATAGAGAATGTAACTCACTAAGTCTGCGTGTTTAAATTATCTCGTTTCATTAGCCTTAATAAACAAAATAGCCTTAAACCAAATAATTTTGACGCGTAAAAGCACTATTAAATTATATTTTTACGGCATAGGTAGAATATTATTATAATTATTACACTTACTCATTTATTTTGTTGAAAGCTTCTTCTTCTTCGTAATAATCAGTAAATGCGAAACCCGGGAATTCAAAACTTACTTTGTTTTCATTATTTCTTTTACCCGATATCCATCCGATGCTTTTTATATTTGTACATGAAATCCATACATTTTTCCATGTGCTAACAATTGGTGTATTACTAGAATAGTCTTCATCGTCCGAAATTACATAAACGTCAGTAGCTGGAGCAGTAAAAATTATTGAAGAATCCAGAAATTCTTCAACATCCTGGTCAGGTTGTGCTTTCAATAGTTCTGTATTAATCTTAATATTGTTACCCTCAAGAGGTTGCATTATATGAAAATAATTATTTGCTAATCTTTCATTGATTTCCTCAGGTTTTAAAACAAGCATACCACCTTCAGACTTACTTTTACTAGATTTTGAAGAAGTAGGACACAATGAAGCTATGTTTGTTATCTTAATCTGAGGTGCAATTTCAGCCACTGGTTTATTAAATAAAGTTTTGTTTTTTGCTTCAGGATTGCTAATTTGCGGAATGTCGGTTAGTCTACTCATCACGTACTTATTTAACAAACTGGTACCAGAGGGAGCTAAAACTACTTTTTGAGGTATTCCTTTATTTATTTGTGTACATTTATTCAAATTAAACGATTTTAATAAACTATTCGATGTTAAATGGTAAAATCCATCTTTTCTACTTATTTTTATTGGTTTAACAAATTTCTTTATTTGTGATGTATTATTGATGGGTAACTTTACAGGATTTGCACTTTCATCGCTTAGGTCTGTATTTTCCGTTGATGATGACTGGTCCTCACTTTTATTTAGTTCAGAATCAGTGTCATTTTCCAAAGTAACAGCACTATCCCAGTCCTTTTTATATGAAGGCATAAAAGAGAGTGGATTATCAATAACTTTAGAATTATCAATTTTATTAATAGTTATCCACAATCCTCTTGTTTTCTTTTGACTTAAGATGGCTATAGGGTTCTTTATTGTCTCTATACCCAAAGGTTCATCATTTTCATATGGGCCTACAAAGACGGAGTTTTCATTCGTATTAGGGGTTGCATATATACCAAAATGAGGACCACTAGTTCCATCGTTACATTTTTGAGACGATAGTCTTACCGTTTTACCCACCCGTCTTGCTACTTGAATAGCTTTTACAATACTTTCGTATTTCACGAAAAAACCTCTTTTATAAAATTGAATTTCACTGAAGTCATTTTCCATTGTCATAACAAACCACTTTGATAATTCAGAACTATTATTTTCATTTAAATCATGAATTGAGATAGTACTTCCTATGTTTTCTTCGAAAATATATCGATCATCCTTAGAAAAAACTGAGTCTTTGTCATAGCTTCTTTTATCCAAAGAACTTGTGGCAACATTTTTAAGATCAGACTGAATTAATTTATTTTCATTCAGTTTTGTGACAGATCCAATCAGCTCCCAACAGTGGGATAATCCACATAATATGCAAAAATTGTTTAAGTTTTGGGAATTATTAATTAAACTGCGCACCATTATAGGATACTCATCAATATCTGACTGAGGAATATGACGAACATTAATGCAATGGTCGAAAAATGGATGTCTTGCATCGACGGCCATAAATATTCGGAAAGGTTTTTTTAAAGAAACTAAAAATAAATTTTTTCGTTCTTGATATCTACTTAAAATGAAATCCCATGGATACAGTGCTACTTTTCCAAGTCTAGGAGGGTATAACGATGTTTTCCAAATGCCTTTATCTATACGTTCTTTATATTTTTTATAACTAGATTCAAGCCACTTAACCAATTTCATTTTATTTGGTAAGCCTTTCATTTCAATATTTTCAATGGCAGTCGTTAATTTAGGCTCTTCGTGTTCGGAGTGCATGCTACGCATTAGATTTTCTTGTTCTTGGAGTATGTTATTCAACAGCTCATCTAATTTAAACGGCTCATTAGCAACGTCAATGATATTTTTTTGTGTGAGAGGTTCATCTTTTTGATCGTTTACAACTGATTGACCCATAAGATTTAACATTTTCGCTTGAAGTTTTTTATCGTTCTTTTCCATTTCTAAAATTTTTTCATTTGTTCTAAGGTAGTAACCATTGCTGTATTTTCTGCCTTCAAAAGGAACAACTCTTGCACAAGTTGAATAAGAAGAAGCAAGTTCTTCGTGCTCTACCACTGTTTTATTTACATCGCTTTTCGGAATCTCGAGGACGAATTTTTTTATTTCGGAATCACTTTGTCTTTTTTCTTCAACAACTGCAACTTCTTTATCTTTATTGACGCTGTTATTTATAGTTACTTGTTCAGTATTCGTCAAATCATGAGAAATACTATGTGTAAATTTACCTTTACAAAAACATTTGTATAAATTATGAATCATGCACCAAGGTTCAACGTTTTCACATTTTAATTTAGTGAGTACAACAGATAAGGTCTTCTGATTTTTAATTTCGTTTCGTAAGCACAAACTACTGTAAAAGTCAGCATACTTTTTAGACGTTTTCCAATTTCTTCTTTTTGACTTTAATAAAATACTTTTATCATCGGTAACTATTACTGTTTGATGAAATTTTTGTTCTTCTTTTGCTAGGTTATTATTTATTTTTTTGTCCAAGTATAATAATCCAGGCAAATATTCAGAACAATCACTTTCTAAGGAGTCAGTAATTTTATACTTTGAAAAGTCACATTTACAACCAAACATACAATCTATCCGACCACAGTGGTCTTTTAAATTATATCTACTTTCTAAAGAATTGCAAACGCAGCCTAAAGAACAGAATAACTCCCGACAAGACTCTGATTTAAGTTTTTTAGCATTTTCTGATAGTCTTATTACGGTAACATCGAGTCTGTCTAATTCCCCGTATTTTCTTTTTGCTTTATCTTTAGTATGTCCAGTTGTATAATTGCAAATAACATTATTTACAATTTCTCTAGGTTCATCTACACCAGAATACATCGAATCTTGGTTCAAACTTATTTCAACAGTATTTAACATTTGGTCAACAATATTTTTTACCTCGGACATAATAATAGGTTCATCGATTAAGGTAAAAGGTTCCATTTTACTATCATATATGTTATTATTTGTTGTATTTTGCCCATTATGAATATCATGTCGCATTAAAAGCAGTTTTTGATCACATTTGTAGTTTAAATTAAACGTAACGCAATTATCAGTTCCAATTTGAACCTCCTTATTTGTTATTTTACCTAGCATTGACACTGCAAATTCTGCCCATTTTTCAGATATAGTGCCGTCTTTTTCTCGCAAATTTTGTAAAAAAGTTGTAATTGTTGGTTCTAACGCCTTTCCATAAGATGGTTGAATATCCAATCCAGGTTGAGGTAAATTCACTAATTTTATTTCACCAACATGATATTTCTGATATGAACAATCTAGTTCCTTCTTTTTCCTTAATGGACCTGGCTTAAATCGTATATTTAGAGAATCGCGCAACAAATCTCTCTTTTTTTTCAAAGCCTTATTTTTTATTTCAGATGTTTTCCTAAAAGATTCTTTATGTTTAAATATATCATAATTGCAAAGAAACTTACATTTGCCACCTTTGCTTCCACTGACCAGAATACATTTACCATTCCATAAAATATATTGAGAAGAATGATTGTGGCCTTCTGGATTTAGGTTCACTAACATTTGCCACGAAGATCTAGATACAGGTTTATCAGATTTCAGTAAATTTAAGGCGATACTTCTTGTATTTTCATCTTTTGCAAATCCATCCCTTATTTTTCGTAGCAAAAGTTTTTGTTGTCTCTCTAACTCATGTGGCAATGTTTCAAAAATATCTTTTTCATATAAAATACGTATATCCCTTACCGTTTTTACCTTAAGCTTACTTTTTTTCTTTGGCACATAAAATTTATCATTTTTGGGTTTAAAGTTACAAATGTCCTGCTCTTCTGTGTTGGAAATGATAGGTTCAACAACGTCTCTTGTAATAATATCATAAAGATTATTCCTTAATGAACAAGAGTTTCTAGTAATACTAGCCACAAAAACTGTTTTACTATCGCCATCCATTTCACAAATACCTAAAATAAGCACAGAATTAGTCATATAGCAGAGAAACGAAATAAGGACATTATAATTTAACAAGCGACTTTGTGTTTTTTTTTTCTTACTTAAATATACTTAGAAAAAAGAAATAACTGTATACACATAATTGTTTTAAATGTTATTTTCGTTGCAATTGAGTGCACTGATTATTCACATCGTTTTCTATTTAATTAACAGGTAGTTACTCTTTTCCCATTTGTTCGTTACGGTCTTTCACAATTCCACTGCTGAGGCATAGGACTTTCCCGTTTCCCCGTAGACTGCCTCGTATAGCAACCACGGTTTTTTTTAATATTTTGATTTTGATTATTTCGTTATCATAACAGGAAGATGCTACTAACCATCTCCTGCTTCAGTTCCCCTATGTGACCTTTTATGACACCAACGTATGATACAGCGAACGAATTTCTTTGCTCGTATGTGTATATGGTATTTCACGTGGTTTTAACTTACAATTTATTCGCTTCTAATAAAGACATATTTTTACACAATAACTTAAAATAGGTTGTTTACTATCGAAAATTTCGTATTTAAAACGAATAAGGATTTTATTTTAAAATAGGAAAATAATACGTTGCAAGCCCGTGTGTTGCGTGTTTATTTGCAAGACATGCAACTAAAACTGAACACGTGATTGAAGTGTTAATATGCTAATCCTTGTGATACGAATTTTCACTAAATCGGATATATTGTTTTGGTTGATCAAAAGAAATTTGCAATTTACTTTCATGGTAAAGATAGATCCAGTCTAAAATAATTTTATTTCTTTACATCAAAACTTGTTTCACATCACTTGCGTACTAATATGCAAAATATATATAATTAGCCTAAATTGTAACGTACACTTCCTTACTATAAATAGCGGGTTCACAACCCCTATGTTAAAACAATGAAACTGTATTTATATTGACGGCTCCGTGGTGCAGTGGCTTAGCACAATGCAATGAATTGCAGCGCTAAGGAGCGCTAAGGCCTACAAATAATTGTTCCGGGTCTGGATGTTTGTCCTTGAGAAATTTATGTTTGTAAACTGCCCCACGATACAGGAGAAAATCCTGGTGCGGAGGTTACGTTTTTTTTAAAAGAAGAAAAAAATAGAATAAAGTTAGCGCCCATTTACATTCAACTGCTGGGCACAGGCCTGCCCTAATTTCTGACAGGGTTATGGAGCAGCAAGTCCGCGGTACTGGTCCAAAGCGTGTTCTCGGGCTTTAAGTGCCCTCGTAATTTGTTTTTCTTAGATATGCGGAGAAGAAAATCATCTTAACATTTCCTCACGATGTTGTCCTTTGGGATCTTACTCGGAAATAAGCATGAGTACGATATATCAAAACGCTACTAAAAAGTAAAAACGGTTACTTATAACAAAACATGTCGTATCGATATGATGCAAAAAGACAACGGTTTTTACAATAACGGTCAATTGAAGTGAATCCAAACGTAACACAGCTAACTTCTAACATAACTTCTCATAACAAAATAAAACAATATCCACCAAGTAAAACAGATATTCGCCACCTCTGTGTCTAACTGACGACCCTGCTCGTTGTTAAAACGAGACAAAGCGAATACCGAGTGCGTTTATCATTAGTTGTTTGGTTGCCACCTAAATGCGAACGCCAAACTAAACTTTATGATAATATGGTAAAACCTAATGTCAATTGTTTATCATTTTACGTAAATAAAAGCGCGTGCTGATTTCTTAAAAATTAGTTTTGTTTTTAAAGTTAGAATTTTAGTCGATCAGTGGCAACTAAAGCTGCAGAAACAGTAACCAAACTGTGTTTTATATCGATAATTAACAATGGTTTTTGAAATCGATATGTAAACTTCATATCGGTTATGTAACGGTTATCATAAAAAACTGATAGCGCCCATATCTACTCGGAAACTAAAAAGTGGAACTAACTCGGGTTGCTCGCGTTTAGCCCCTAACGTATTCAAATTCCGGTTAAAGGTATAACTAGTACAAGCCATTCAAAAACAAGAAAACGGCTGTTTTTGTACTTCAGTGCGATTTGGTTATTAGTGTACTCAAAATTAATAAATACGAGGTAAATCGCATCACATTCTAATATGATTTCATTTTTTTTATTTCACGTTTTAATACTTAACATAAATTATATCTTTAGTCACACAACCCAATTGCAATTTATGCTATGAAGTATGAAAAACACACTACAAGAATACACAAAATGGACGCCAAATTCACTGACTCACACACTCGAATATTTTCAATCTTAAGCCATCATAACTTTGAATTATAATATTACTATAAATTACCTTTATTATCCAAAATTAGTTGTAACAGAATTACTAAAACATTGTATTTGTTTTAAAAATAGTTTACAAACAAAACTACTATAATGGCTTTATCACGTACCACGTAACAAATCAATGACAATTTTGCTTTAGTGTTACCACACTCGATTGTCACAGTTTCTCACCATTTTGTTACGATATGCCTTAAAAATACTATTTTCTACTTTACGTCAAAATGCGTTAGCTAATTTGAACCTTAATAAAAAATAATTTATTAACAATAATAACTGAAATATAATAACATTCAATATTATGTTATCCAATTATGCAAGACATACAAATGAATATGAATGTATGTGTGATTTTAAACAAGGAACGTTTAAATTATTTATTACCAGTCTGACTTGTAATGGCAAACATTTTAAAACAAATGTCAGTATAAGCACAGTTTACTTTGTAGATTATTAGAATAAGTAAATTTCTTTTGCATTACTAATAATTATATGTGTAACTGAATTTACCTACCTGGGAAACTGGGAATCGAATACTGTAAAATATTCGAGTATTTCTACATACAGAATTCAAAATGGCGGATATCCTTTTTGAGTGACAATTTTAAATCTTGGTTAATCCTACCAAATTTAGCGAATTTTCAGAAATTGTGACAAGTATTGTGAATTTTAGAATATACACACTGATAAAAGGCTTTATTTTAATCGAATAAAAATATATCTCAACGCTTGTGTAAATCCTTGGACAAAGTATTATACCAGATTATACTACTCTATACTCGTTGAACAGATGTTTGAAGTTTTAGCACAGATTATGTTAAACTACATTTATGATCAAGTCTGTTTACATTGACACACAATAGAACCGAAGAATGAGTAATTACATACATTATTATCGATGTTGAATTATTCAACTAGTACTACAACGTATAGACATCAATAACATTAAGTCTGTTTTAAATAATTGATTACATCGCCAACACCTTTGATTTCTACTTAGGTATTAAACAGATCATGGGACAGCGGTTACCACTTACCATGATTGACAACAACGATTATTGTTTTATCTTTGCATTTTACATTATCAGCATAGACTAACGAGTGGATTCTGATTATTTGTACTACATAATACCGTAGACAATAGACAGTTCTCTGTCTACTACGCTTATTACTCATATATTTTACATTTTAAGTTACGTTTATAATTTCATTGTAATTACTTTTTAATATTCAGCATAATGTATCAAATTGTTAAGGCTGCGCACAAAACAAAGCCAATCTAAGTAGAATTGAATTTTACTATTGTATACAAAAATCCATACTGAAAAAAAAGTAAGTTATTTACTCAATGGAATAAAAATACAAATATAACTTTGATTTTTGGATTTTTAGCTCTGTTCTCAAAAGTTATATGTTACTAGGAGGAAACATTTTATAAGTATTATAACTGCTTTTAGGTTTAAAGAAAAACCTTAGTGATATTTGCAATAATTTACAAGTATTCGAACTCAGAACAATAATCATTCTAATAATTAATTTTGGCGCATATAGCATTTAAATTCCTCGAAAGAGAGTCGTCCATCTCAATCGGACTTGACCTACAAGCATGCATTTGTTTCGCCTTGATTTGTTTATTCTCTCTTCACCGAATACTGGTTAGATATTTTATAAGACACAATCACTGCAATTTAATAACAGATTAAATTTACAATTAAGAAAGTGTTAAGAAATTAACCGAAATTATTATTATAAAATATTTTAATTTTTTAGTAATATATCTTTGTAAAATTTTTAAGAAGTCATCTTTACTTTTTGTTTTTATGGCTTTCACAGAAATCTTAAATAAATAAATGCATACATACATTATGATCACTACAATCACTGCGTCTATACGACGCCGTCGCTCGTACCATAGTAAAAATAGAATAGTAGGCTTTCTTCTAAGAAATATACTGAACGCCGCTATTGTGTGCTTGTCTGACACGTGACAGTACGGACTCGTATGCACGACCTACAGCATGCACATAACGACACTTTTATGTCAAGAAGATCGGACCGAGTCTGGAACGCCCACCGCTGCGCTCTGCAATTACCTTTGATTGAGACTTGGTTGACTTTTAGTACTTAATATTTTGCTAGCAGTCTTTTTTTCGTTTTATTTTCTCTTTTTGTAAAATAAATTAATATATGCGTTTGTTTAAGTAATTTAGCTTCATATTATTATTTATGTATCTATACATAGATAAGTACATACCTCATAAGAACATTAAATATTATGTCACAACAAATCAAATTAATTTTAAACATCAAATCTGAGCTGACACCACATGCTCAGTGTTAGGTAATTTACTCGCACTCTAGTTTTTAAAACTTTCAATATCCCTTTTTATTTGTTACTATAATTACATTTTAATATTCATTACACACAATATTAAAAAACATAATGTAGAAAAACTAAAACTAATTCTAGTTATTTGGCATTTGTTGTAATAAAAAAACAAACAAACAAAAAAACTCCAGCTTTACAGCTGGAATTTTTTTACAAACATTAACTTTGAGAGGAAACTAAAGAAATGATTAACAAATATGATTCATAGGTACTTACGTGTCCCTATGTGTTATGTTTGAAAATATTATGACTACTTATACAACTAAATGTGACTTAGCTGTTAAACAAAAAAAAAATGGTGACAACCCTCCAACGGTAGGCATTTAAGTCTCGCGCGGCACGGGAGTTTTCCTACTATTCCGTTTTTACTATACTCATACTTAACAAAGACAACAATGAAAGCCCTACTCAGGGTTAATAGTCTTCAAATGAATTTGCACATAATCATAATCATAACTTTGCCCGTTGGGTTGGGCGACTAAAAATAAAGCGAGAAAAAGATATCACTGTTTCTTTCCTTCACGTTTAAATTGTCATTTACAAAAATAAATGTGTACAATAATAAAATGGAAGAAACTTAAATAGTTAATTCAGTTTTCTTTCTTTTGGTTTGAACCTAGAATAATTACATAAGTACATATTGCTTTGAGCTTTGCACAATTAATAGTACTTTGAATAGATTAAAATTAAATTATTAAATATTAGCAAAATTCGATCAAGAGAAGCCATGAATAAGAAGAAAATAATGATATTTGTTTGTCAACTCCTTTGCTGAAAATATTATTTCAGTTAATTCAAATTAATATCATAGGTTTAGATTTTATTATTTATTATTGAAGTCTGCTTAAATACAGTTATTATCGAAATAATACTAGTTTTTACGGAATTTATAGCGTATATTTAACTTTTTAAATACCCGACGTTTCGAACGCTTTACAGCACTCATGGTCATGGGCGGGACTGAGATGTTCAACGTCCATATGTCAGACATATGGACGTGGAGTTAAATATACGCGATAAATTCCAAATTAAAAACTAGTATTATTTCAATGTGTAGTGTTCGCGTAAATATAAGAAATCATTATACAGTTATTATCGATTCAGAATACTTTAATTTCATTTGTAGGCATTGAGCTATTATGTACTACGTACTAGAGGCGACACTGCATTCAGCTACTATGTTCCACTCAACTGCGGTGCATACACCGCACTTTAATCAGCCACTCGCTAGACGCTTGTAGAGTTGTCACGTGTTGTGTTGATTTAAAAAAACATCTCTTGATAAAAATATGCCGTCGCGTGTACTTAGACATTGCACAAATAATTCAAGAAATGTCAGTAAAAACCAAGAAATTACTTTCCATCGGTTAATAAGATAATTAATCAATAAAAAGTATTATAGATTAATAATAAAACAAATTATTCCTAAGACGCCATTTCGTGTCATGGAATATAGATTATGAAATGAATATGTTCAGATGCGACATTTTTGTGGGTATAGGACAGAAAACTAAAAAAGGTGACACATAATTTTACTGTTCTGCATGCGACTGTGATCGAAAATGTGCAAAAATTCGTCTAAACATGAAGTGAACTGTAAAAAATTACAAAATCAGCCTAAGCTTACATCTTTGTTAGCATCAACATCAAAATTGCAACAACCTCAGCAGATGGCAAAGGCTGGTGAAATAAAACTGGCTTGTTTTGTTGCAGAACATAATATTGCAGTTAATGTTGCCTCCCATCTGACAAAATTAGTTAAATCAGTGTACCCAGACTCAAAAATTGCTGAAAGTTTGTCTATGAGCCGAACAAAAACTCGAGCTATCGTTGTAAATGTGACAGGAAAAACGGCTGAAGAAAACTTGATACAAAACTTAAAAGAAAATTATTTTTCATTATTGGTAGATGAGAGTACCGATAAGTCGGCAATTAAGCATTTAGCTTTAATAGCTAGGGTAGTCAACACAAATTACGAAGTAGAAGATAAGTTTCTGACTTTGATACCAATCGCCGAAGGATCAGCTAAAGTTTTGTATGATAAAACTATCGAATATTTCAACGAGAAAGGAATCCCGTACAAAGAAAATATGTTAGGATTTGCGTCCGATGGCGCCAATGTAATGTTTGGATCAAATAACTCGATGGTTACTCATTTGAAAAACGATATACCCAATCTTTTCACCATGAAATGCATATGCCACTCGTTTGCACTTTGCGCATCGTAGGCATGTCAAAAATTACCGAGGGGCCTTGAAAATTTTTGCCGTGAAGTTTTTAATCACATTCAAAATTCACCTAAACGCGTTGGGGATTACAAAACCTTTCGGGCATTTACAAATATAAAACCTCATAAAATACTGCACCCAGCCCAAACCATATGGCTATCTTTGAACGACGTTGTGAACAGAATGTTAGAGCAACTTCCAGCTATCAAGTTGTATTTTCAATCAGCTGTTTTCACAGATCGTCTTCTTTCTGCTCAAGGAATTTTAACGAAATCTATGGAACCGACAACCGAGTTATACTTGGAATTTCTTCGATTTGCGTTACCAATATTCACAGATTTGAATAAAGAAATGCACAGAAAAAACAAAGCTGTAGGTACTTATTATATGATCAGATTTGCACAGCTTATTTAACAATTTTAGAATGCTTTATACAGCCGTTATATTTAGAATTAACAGAAGATGAAAAAAACAATAACCAAGACATTTCGAATGCGAAAGAAAAGAAAGTACTAATTTTTGATGTAAATGACGTGCAAACCCAAACAAACAAATTTGAAATATATGTAGGCGGAATGGTACCTAATTTAATCCGACTGAAAAAGGAAACTCGAAAGTTGGACGACGACAAACTTCAAAATTTTTACACAAAATGTAAAGACTTTTATGGTGAAGCAATAGTACAAATCAAACAAAAATTCCCATTTGATAACAAAGAACGTCAAGCTCTGAAATGTTTACAGATGTTGAACCCACAAACACTTTTAAATAACGATTTTAGCAAGAAACAAATAACTTCAATTTCTGAAATCTTATATTATTTTCCAAATAGGTATTTGTCCGGAAGACGTAACAGAATTGGATAGAGAATGGAGAACTCTTCGCAACACCAACTTGAATTTGAACGAACCTGAGACGCTAAATGTAGAAGAATTTTGGTAGGTACCATGTCTCCAAATTGAAGAAGGGCGATGGATCTGCAAGATTTCCCCTGCTATCAAAATTAACTAAAAAGCTTTTGTGTCTACCGCACAGTACAGCAACGGTTGAACGTTTATTTTCAAGTATAAATCTTATGAAAACCAAACTTAGGAATAAACTGTCTACCACCACCATAAAAGGCACTTTACATACAAAATCAGAAATTAAAAATTGTTTCGAGTTTAATGCTACCAATGACCATTTAAAGAGATTTAATAAAAATATGTACGATTTCAAGAATAAAAATGAAACTGAAAATGAAGAGGATGTGCAAATTGAAAACGAGGCAGTTTTATTAGATTAGATTGTAAATTTGTTAAGATTTAAAGTTGATTTATTACTACAAGTATACTTTTATCACTTTATTATGTTTTTTTATTGATTACTGCTATTAAAAACTACAAAATAAGAAAAACTGTAGATTTACAGTTCTGTAAGTAGAAATTTACAGTTTTCTACAGCTTTTTGAAAGCTTGTTTGCGGTTTTAGTCTAGATTGGGGTTGGTAACACTGCGTGGATGTAAAGATTTTTCATGAGATATTGACTCTATGATAATATATTTACTATAAATTAATTCATTATTTTAAAATTATAATATCCACGTGTGACCAGAATCAAAAATATTAAGTGATGTGCACAAAGCACAAAATCATTTTATCACTTTCCACAGGCTTCCTAAAATAGGAATAGAAAAACTTACGATAATTTTGTAGGAAGTCTTTATATATTTTGAATTTATTGATCGTTATATGTAGTGATTATTATTACATCTACTCACTCGATTTTATCTGTTTCAGATCACGTATTTGGGCTGAATTAAGTATATTAACGTTTGCTAAAAAACTCTAAACCAATAACGTAGGTATATTTTAGGTAGATACCTATATCAATAACATGCGTGAAATTATTACATTCAAAAGTAATTCAAAACATCATTAATAATGTCTCTACAGTTTTTAAACAATCTGTCTTTTCAGAAAATAAAATCAATTTTTTTTTTCCGAAACCATTGATCCGTCGGGCTATGTCGGTTACGCTGGTTCTATAACACATATCCCCGTTTTGAAGTCCATCAAGCAAAGAAACCCCCAGCGTAACCCACTCCACAGCTCGCTGAGACCTTGAGCTTCCTCATACGGTCAGCAATGAAAGACAATGTAGAATCAGATCTATAAGGTTGTACAATCTTGTTTTCAGGTTTAGAAGTAGGTATAACGAGAAAATGTGTCGTAATCTCCTGAACGCTGCCCAGCCGAGTTGAATCCATCGATAGACCTCTCGGTCGAAGTTGGACTAAGCTAGCCTATTGGTCCCAAGTAAACATACACGTCAACTACTTCAAGTGCTCCCAACAACTACCGGCATAGGTATGACATGGACGTTACACATGACCTTTGTTTTGTCCATGTTCATCTTAAGACTTATCCGTTAAAAGATACTACTAAGGTCATTAAGCATAGTGCTTAGATCCTCCAGCGATTCTGTTATAAGGACTATATCGTCAAATCGAAGATGAGTGATGTTAATCCCGTATCCTTTCCAGTCCAGTAGCTTGAAAACGTCTCCCAAGTAGCGGTGAAGTTTGGGATATTATAACGTTAAACTATTTTACACCTCTCTGCATTTGGAAGGGTTTCATACTCTGATTTTGTACTCGGATAGCCGTTTAGCCCCACTGCGCAAACCACCTTTGTTCTATAAAAACATAGTAATGTTATTGCCACCCTTATTCTTTAAAAAAATCCGAAGCCAACGATTTCTACCTGAGTTATCACCTTGAAGCTGTCATGCTAATATACATGTAGATACCAATTGTTCTGATCCATTTTGGTCACCGCGAAAATTTCCGAAAAAATCTGAAAGTAGCAACTATAGTAGCTACGGGTAATAAGGCCTAGCTAAGGGAATTTCGAAAAGAAAAAGTGAGAAATATCCAATTTGGCCGACAGATTTTAATAAAAATCATTGGTATGAAAAATTGTAACATTTGCCATAAAGAAAAACAATATTAAACATTTCTAAAAACCTTGCTAGTAGGTCTTATTTTACTATCGCAGGGTAATAAAGCCTACTGCTTTAACTAACTCAAATTATCAAACTATACATAATATATTTAATGTTTGTGATCAAGGAATGTACCTACCAATTATGACTTAAATTTCTTAATAAAATATAAATTTCTTCGCCTAACAGCATTTAGTCATTAGTACGAGGGTGGATTGAAAAGTACTCGGCCTAACACAGATCCATTCAATTCTAAAAATCAAATCTACCCACATTATTTAGTTCAGTTCAGACTAGTTCATTGTGTGAAGTTCGAAACGTGTGCGATAATTAGTTGTGATTTTATAAATTTATTAACAAAGTAATCGGACATAATTTCCGCGAATGGAGCAAATCGAGCAGCGTGCCGTCATTAAGTACCTCCATAAGAAGGGGCTATCATCAAAAGCCATCCATGATGACATGGTCAGTACATTAGGCGATTGTGCTCTGTCATATTCATCCGTCAAAAAATGGATAGCAGAATTTAAGCATGGTAGAGAGAGTGTGAAAGATGAACCCCGCTCTGGAAGGCCTTCGACGTCAACTACTGACGAAAATATTAAAAAAAGTACTTGATTTAATAATGGGAGACCGCAGATTAAAAATTAGAGAGATAGCCGAGATTATAGGCATCTCTTATGAACGAACTCAAAACATCATTGTCAACGAGTTGGGTTTCCACAAGGTGTCTGCGAGGTGGGTTCCGCGACTGCTTTCAGTTGAACAAAAAAGGACGCGATTGACTATTTCACGCGACAGTTTGGAGTTATTTGAAGCCGATGCAGATGATTTTTTGAATCGTTTTGTTACTATGGACGAAACATGGGTTCATTACTGTACACCGGAAACAAAACAACAATCAAAACAGTGGAGAAGACCTGGTTCACCACCCCCTAAAAAGGCTAAGTCGATTTTGTCGGCAAATAAGGTGATGGCTTCAGTATTCTGGGACTCGAAAGGTGTGATTATGATTGATTATCTTGAAAGGGGTTAGACTATAAACTCTGATTACTACTGCACCTTACTACGTCGTTTACGAGAGGAAATAAAAGAAAAACGTCGAGGAATGCTCAGAAGAAAAGTCCTGTTTCATCAAGATAACGCCCGTGTTCACACGTCAGTACAGTCAATGGCTGAAATTCACAACTGTGGCTTTGAACTGTTACCGCATCCGCCGTATTCACCTGATCTGGCACCATCAGACTTCTTTCTGTTCCCTAACCTAAAAAAGCACTTGGGAGGTCAAAGATTTTCGACAAAAGACGAGGTCAAAGCAGCTGTAGACGCATATTTTGACTCTAAGGAAGAATCATTTTTTTTCAACGGTCTAAATGCTTGGAAGGGGAGGTGGCAAAAGTGTATTGAACTTGATGGTGATTATGTAGAAAAATAAAAATATAACTGATTTAGTATGTGTTTATTTTCTTGGTTAGGCCGAGTACTTTTCAATCCACCCTCGTATAATGATGCACAAAGTAACAAACAAACGCACTCCTCGTTATTATCATCAGTGCGTCGGTTGTCTCGAGTTGAGATGAGTGTTAGGTTGAGTTGAGAGTTGGTGTATTACTGGGTTGTGTCCTCCCAACCGAATTTTGTCATAGTGGCCAGTCTCCACGGAGACTATCCTATCTGCACAGTACAGAATTATAGTGTCCTAATGCATGCGCAAGCACAGGTGCACTCTCTATTCCCTCACAATTATCAAATCGCAATCCGAAATGGCCTGAGAGAGCTTAGGCGCAGGAACAATCATTTACACATAATTTAATAGCTTCTAATTTCAAAGCCTTAATTCTTCGACACACTTTGTCTTTGCACTGTTAGGATAGCTGAAACCAGGTCGATATTTGACTACGACATTAGTTTAGTAATAAAAGCTTATTATTTATTTGCATTTATAACATTTTAAAAAGTGATATAAAATATATTATAAATCAAACAAATACCTACTACACACGAAGAGGGAGTG